AAAGCCCGGGCAAGCAGCTCTAAACCAAACTGCCGTGAAGGGGACACCACGGGCGGGGTACGGAAAGGCAGCGCAGCTCTGCCACTCAGGGGCGCGACCTGGGCAACCGCGGCCACCATGGATGCTCCAGACGGGCGTCTAGGAAGGATCGCGGTGAGCTCGCCGCCCCTCAGTCCCCATCACCCCAGAGCGCAGCTCTCACCCGGTCCCTGTCTGCTCTCCAGCCCGCTCCCGCCTCCAACGGCACCAGCTCCGGGTCAGCGGAGAGAAGGCGCCCCCTGGTCTGCTTTCAGCCCCCACCAAGGGATGACACTGGGGTGAGAGTGGAGGGAGAATTCCCGGGGTGGAAATTCCAGTTCCTACTCCCAGCGTGTAGGACTGCGAATGCGCCGGGTCTGCTCTCCCCTTCATCCCTCTCCTCCGCCAAATCGCCCAGTTGCTGGAAGAACTCGAACCCGTGCCAAACCCCAGCGCCCACCAGCCAGGAGGCTCCCTTTCCCGCCCCGCATCACGATCGGATGAGTGTGCGTGCGGGCGAGTGTGTGAGGGCGACTGTGTGAGTGGGTGGGTGAGTGTGCGTGAATCCCGCACCCCCTCGGTTGCCCGCCCCGCGGACGCCGCCGCCTGCGCCGGGGCCCGGGCCACCACTATTAGGAAGAGTGAGAAGAATAAATTACCTTTCGTAACCGCCGGTCCCTGAGATCGTCCCATCAGTTGCTCAACAACCTGCAGCCGAGTGCAGTTTCCACAATCCAGCCATGGAGCCCGGGGCAAAAGACCGGCCGGCCCCGGAGAAGACACCCCCACCACACGCCGCAAGGAATGATAACCACAGCGCAGAGAAAGCAGCAGGAGGGTGGAGACCCCAGCCAAAGAAACAACAACAAAAAGTCTCTCCTTCCCCCTTTCTTCTGCTACACAGCCACGGAGAAAGGGGAAGGGGGGGAGAAAGAACCAAAGATTTGTCTTCCTGTACGTTGTCTCGCTTCAAACACACCGAGGGGGTAAAAACGGAGCAAAGAGAGAGCAAGGTTCAAATGTCTCTCCCAGTCCACAGTTGCACAACTTCGGAGTAGGGCTCCGTCTCCAGCAGCGGCCGAGAGACCCAAGCGGCAGCTATTAACATGCGGCAGTCATAGCTGGGGCTGCTTCTCCTCCCGCTGCTGCTGCTGCCGCCGCTGCCGCTGCTGCTGCCGCCGCCGCTCAAGAAAAGACGCTGCTGGAGAGACCAAAAATCTTCCACCATCCCCCCAGCCGATCTTTATATCCAGTTCTCCCACCCCACCCCCTTCTCTTTCTTTTTCTTCTTCTTCCTCGTCCTCCCCTTTCCGCTTGGGAAAGGGAGCAGTGGAATAGGTAGGGGGAGCCGCGACAGCCAGAGGTGGCTTCTTCTCCGCCAAACCCTCCTCCTTCTCCCGAGGTTTTCTCCCCGCGGAGGGTCTCCTCTGGCGCCCGCAACCTGCGCCGAGAGCCGGAGCGAGGGCCACGCAAACTCCTTCCCGAGTGCACGGTGGGGGCGCGCGGGCGGAGCGGGCGCCCGGCTGCCGAAGGCTGCGTCCCGGGGGTCGCGGAGCCCGGAGCCCGGGGGGTGGCAGATTAGCTCGCCGGCCGGGCCGGGCAGCTGCGGGCATGTGGGAGCTTCATCGCGCGGCCCCGAGCTCCGCGCCGCCGCCGCCGCCGCCGCCTCTTCGGTTCTTTCTCTTCTTCGACTCTCCGAGAGCGAGCAAGGCTCTGGCGCTCTCCACACACGCACACTCACACACGCGCACACACGAGCGAGCTCCTGCCAAAGCAAACCGTGCAATCCGCGCGCGCGCACACCCGGAGAAAGAGGACGGAGGCAAAAAAAGAGAAGAAAGAAAGGGGAGGGGGCGAGTCACAGGCGGCGGCAGCGGCAGCTGTCGGAGCGGAGGCAACGAGCAGTCCGGGGAAAACCAGCAGCGGCAGCGGCGGCGCCCACCCGGACCAGCGGCAGGATCTGCATCCCCGCTCCCGGGAACTGGGGCGAGCAGTGCCGGGCGAGCAGGAGACCCGGCGACGCGCCGAGAGCGGGTCGGAGCGCGGGCGCGCCGGGGCCGTGCAGCCTGCGCGCGGCGGACGCAGCCGGGGCCCGAGCCGAGGCCAGAATGAGCCGCGGGCTGGCGAGCGCCAAGAGCGCGGAGAGCTGGGGAGGGGGCTCGCGCGGGGGGAAGGGGGTGGCAGGTAAAACCCGGATCTGGAGTGCACTCGGGCTCCGCCGCGCGGACTCCACCTAGCAGCTCGGCAAACGCTTGGAGGTGGGAATGAGAGGGCTGCTACAAGAGGCTTCCCTTTCAGGGTTTGTCAAACAAAGGGTACATCTCCTCCCGGCTTTGAGGCACGCTTCTACCTCAGCCCCTCTCTCTCTACCTCTCTTTCTCTCTGTCTCTGTCCCTCCCCTCTCGCACTCTCGCCCCTCTTCTTTTCCTCCACTTCACCCCAGGTGAGTAAACGTCAGAATGAAAGTCCTGCCAGCTTCTCCTTTTCTAGGTGCAGATTATTCCATATTTTCATTATGCAGGTACCTAGTCCCGGTGCGTTTTCTGCCTTTGGTCCATTTTATGTTTCTTCAAACTTACCTCAACGTGCAAGTTCACTGCAGACTTTAAAGTATCCTCTGATAATCGGACGTGGGGATTTCATGATTTTATTTCATAATGTCAGTAAAAATTACCATAATGGATATAGAAAGGTGCCGATTGCAAAGCAATGCCTTCTGATGGTGGGGAAAGCCTTCTCAAGTTAACTGAGTGACCTTGGTCAATTACTGAGCCCCTTTGTGCTTTCTTTATAAATAAGATAGAAGGTTAAGGGGGGTAATTTATAAGGTCTTTTCCTCCTCTAAAATTTCATGATCTAAAAAGACTAAGGTGTTATTTTCTGTACCAGTAAATTCGAGTTACAATTATGAGAGAAAGTAAGATTTATTATATGCATTCAACAAGCACATTATATCCAAATTGTATTTGAATGTATATATTCAGAAGGGTCTAATGCCCATCCAGAGCTCTTCGGAGGTATAATCAACCACAGTACATCTGAAGAACCCCAAACCTCATTAGCATTAACAGACCATACCCAATACAAGTGACTATCAAAATCTCATGGGTTCTTCAAAGCTCAATTCCAGTGCCAAATGCTCCAAAAAAACCTTTTCTCACCGACCCCAATCAAAATAATCACCCCTTTTCTTATATTCCCATAGGACTTTGGTGGTATATCTAGGATAACACCCATTTCATTCTGTTTTTTTTTTCTTCTTATTCTTTTAAATAACGAGTAGCTTGTCTGTATGCCTCCTCAGATTATTGGATCTTCCTTAAATGCAAATTCCAAAATTTAATCATCTGTATAACCTTAGATTACTACGTATCCACAGTACTTTGCATTGTAATTCCTTTAAAAAAATGGGAGAGGGCTTTCATGATATTGCTGGATTCTGACTGAGATGTTCACACACTTAAATTAGGCTACTTGAATTTGCCTAAAATAAGGCATCCATGAACTCCCCCGATTACATAAAGAAAATATAAACTGACATCTGAAGTCACTTGTTACCTAAATAATTTTGGAAATAGTAGGCTCTAGCCAGTTGTGACAAGAGGCTCTTATTTGTAAAGGAGGCAAAATGGAAAGTACCCAATTCATCTCCTAAATGGATATATGTGGAAAAGCAATAAAATAATAAAATGGGAATGAAAGGTATGGTATAGGTATTAAATGTTATTAATGGTAGCAGCAGAAATATAAGTAAATGGTACCTATAGACCAATTTTTAGAATCAATCTTATCACATCTTGACAGTTTCAGAGGTATATGAGAGAGAAATTAAATTTCAAATGGAAATTAATATTTCAAGAAATAAAATATGTTAACTGAAAACTATATATATTAAGTTATTAAATATGAAACATAGTAACTGAAAAGTAAGCATATTAAGTCAAATAAGTAATTGAAAGTATTCACCAAAGAATTGATCACAAATAAAGTTATAGACAAAAAAAAAATGAGGAAGAAAGAACCAAAAAAGGGGGGGGGGGGAAGTGAGTAAAAAATAAGTTAAAGAAAAGCATGGAAAGGAAGAGAATAGGTTAATTATTTATACAATTTAATCAAATGTCAAGGTGGCAGCTTTTATAGCAGCTACCTGTATGTTAGGCTCAAACTTCATGCTTCCAAATCCTCTTCAATCTGATAAGCATAGTCTTCTATATTTAAGACACAAAGCATCCTACTCCATTGCCAAGAAATCCATGACTCTTGCCAATATCTTTCTATGGTGAACCTTCTAGAAAAATAAAATCTAGTAAATTCTGTGCCTTATTTGCTACACAACTATATTTAACATTTTCTCAGGGACAAGATAGTATCCAAGATGATGACTGAGCAAAGATAACTATTATACATGGTAGTGCTGTGTGCTAGAGTGGGTTTTGAATATGATGGTAAAGTTGACTTTAGCTCTATTAAAGTTGAAAAAAGTCAATATTTACCATGTGTAAAAGAACTCTCCTAAATTTAAAAAGCTGAATATCCAATGAAATAGGATAACCAATATGAACATATTTTAATAACTAGTAAAACTCGCTGACCAAAGGATTCTTTCAAATTAATAAATACACTAAGATCCCCAACAGGGTGAACGTGAAGAAAAGAACATAGATAATCTGTTCACAGAATAGGTAAACACAAATAAATAACCAATAAATGTAGAGAAGGATGCTTTGCCTATACAAACAATCCCATACATAAAAATTTACACAATTACACGATCTACCAGGTTTCACGTTTTGCCCAGGAAATTAGCTGAAAAGTAACAGGGGCCTACTCTAAACTCTAAAAAAAAGTGTGTTGAGACAGGCATGCCCCTATGCTAATAACATACACTGACACATTTTTCTTGAAAGAAAGTTGAAAATATATGTCAACTGACTTATAAAATATGGATGTCATTAATCCATTGTTTCTATTTACAGATACAACTTCTACAGAAATAAACAGAGGTATGGACAAGGATTTTTTACAATGATATACATCTCAGTCATAATTGTTATGTAAGGGGAGTGAGTATGTGAGGTATGTATATATTCAGAGAGATCTTGTTTTTTCATGCTCAGTAAAAGCCCTCTTATCTGATTGGATTGGTATTTAGTTAGTGGGAAAAATGTTGGTTAAAGCAAAAAAAAAAAAAAAATTTTTTTTTTTTTTAATGACCCATACATTCTATTTTAGTTAGGATTCATTTTTGCTGCAAGCAACAGAAACACAAAATAACAGCAACCTAAACAAGATAGAAGGTTATTACTTTTTCAAGTGAAAAGTCTAGCAGTTGGTGATCCAGAGTTATTGTGGCCCCCCAAAACATCCTGGGTGTAGATGCCTTCTTTATCTTCTTGTGTGGCCACCTATGACCTTTATTCCCAGTTTCAGTTCTAGCAATCATGCCTCCATTGCAAAAGCAAAGAAGAAAAGGAGGAAGATAAAGGTATACTCAAACCTGTGACCTTTTCCTAGAGCTGCACACACCATTCTCCTTTCATTTCATCCTCAGAAATGCTGAGATGGTAACACTTAGCTAGCTACAAGGCTAATGGAAAACATCGACTACTTCAGGCAATCCCGTGCCCAACTCAAAATCAGATTTTTTCATATTTATCTTTTCCTCAGACTATAACTTATCCGTGTGCACCACCCTGAACAGAGCTTTGCATACATTAGGTTTTCAGTAACCGACTGAATGGCTAATGCAGACACTAGACAATGTCCCCTTCACATGAAGTGACCTTTTGGTTCAACCTGATATAAACGTTCAAAAAATTTGAAATTACTGAGCTCTGCCATCAAGAAAAATACTCTCTAATACCTGATCGAATATCAGTGGACAGTTAATATTGTAAATGCTACTGGGCCCAGACACACTGACAAATCCAGGTAATCAGGATTAACTTACATCTGCAAAGCAGGTAGCAAATCATAGTACTCAGATTCCTAGTATGCCATGGCATGATGAGAATTCTAGGAGGCCTTGGGTTCACTAGAATATTGACTTAAATTTAGAATATATGGACTATCAACCTATTTGATTGCCCTAAGGGATAGCTTAAGTCTAAGAAGTGCCTGGTGATGCTCTCTGTTCCCTAGAATATACATCAAAGGGCCATTTAAAAGACTGTAAAATCTTACCCAGATTATATCGACCTGCTAATTTGGTATCTTCTTTTCTCTCCTGCCTCAAGCAATTTACCCTTATTCTTTTTCAACCCATAAGAGGATCTGTGTATTCTACATTCTTCAAGACCTGGAAGCTTATCTATACATATAGATAAGGTAAATCTAGATCTAGCTATTTTTAAACTCTTTTAAGTTCATTTATTTATTTTGAAAGAGAGGAGGGAGGGGCAGAAAGAGAGGCAGAGAGAGAGAGAGAGAGAGAGAGAGAATCTCAAACAGGCTCTGCATTGTCATCACAGAGCCAGATGGGGGCTGGTATTCACAAACCATGAGACCATGACCTGAACTGAAACCAAGAGTCTGATGCTTAACTGACTGAGCCACCCAGGTACCTCTAGATATTTTTTTTAAAACAGCTTCTCCTAACTAATCCTAAAATTTCCAAATCCTTTTTTTTTTCTTCCCAATGAAAGAGTCTCCTTAGAACTCTGTGACATAGTTTCGTTAATGTTTGCATACATGCATGTCAGTTTTGGAGGACTGTGAAAGAAACAACACGATGCTTCTTCTGTTTCTTTCCTTCTTCTCCTTCTCCTCCTCCTCCTCCTTCTATTTCTTCTTCCCCTCCTCCTCCTCCTCCTGCTTCTTCTCCTTCTCCTTCTTCACCTTCTTCACCTTCTCCTTCTTCTTACTCCTTCCCCTCCTCCTCCTCCTTCTCCTTCTCCTTCTTCTTACTCCTTCCCCTCCTCCTCCTCCTCTCCTTCTCCTTCTTCTTCTTCTTCTCCTTCTCCTTCTTGTAACTTTCCCCATTGCCTTCCCTTAGATCCAACAATTAAATTACCTTTCATGGCTGCAAATTAGGTTCAACACCAAATATTTTCAGCCATATACTGTAAATGTTAGTAATAGAACACTGGCTCTTACAGAAGTACTCAGCACATATACAAACACAGTTGTCTTAAAAGAAGCACATCACAGTGTCTAGATTCTAGATTCTAGAAATATGAAGATATTCAAAAACCAAACACTGTTTTCTTAAGGCCTCCTTCTTAAGAAGACAAATATGCTTGTACTTTGTAAATGAAAATATCATGGTCAACCAGAGATAATCAATAATGACTGCCATGTTCTCAAAAGGAAGGAAATAGACTTTTTGTTCATTTGTAAAAAATTGCCACTCTGCTGGGTTCTGCTCATCAGCCTCTCCTTTAAGACTATAGTAGACACCAAGAGTAGATACCTACCTCATAATTATTTCCCTTTCTCTAAGAATGGTTCCTACATGCGAGGTGACTTTGTCCATACTATATGGTCCTGTCGATTGGCCATGGTTGATTGGTTCAGTAAAGGCAGCCGACCCAAGCTTGGCTAATCAAAATCATTCTCTAGAATTTTTCAGACTATACTACCCAAAGGGTCTCAACATATCCCTGAGGGTGGAGGAAGCTCAGCAGCTATCCACGGCCATATATGCTGCTATATCGTGCTACCTAAACCTGACTTTGTGCAATAATTTCCTGAAGAATGCAGTCAGATTTTTAAAATGGTTAGTCTTAATCAGAACTTCTTTTTTCTTCTGCACCCATATATAAATTCTCAGATAAGATGTACTCAAGGGGAGATTTTTCTAAGTGCATGTTGTTATAGTGCTAACATGCAATCTGTGTTATGTTGGTACCTAGGAAATTAGGTTCCCCTTAAGATTGCCTACTGGATTTTCCAGAAAGGTGAACTCATAGAAAACATATTGCATTATTCTTCTGGGAATGTTGGTCACATTATTTTTGTAGGACTCCCAGTTAGATGATTTTCTCATTTCTGGTATCTGCTTCAATCATACACCTCACTTCTTTTCTTATAAAAGCAAAATGAGACATGGTAGGAAAAATAATGGCTGTTGTCTACTTGGCAATAGAGTACTTGGCCCATAGTAGATATTCAGTAAATGTTTGGTGAATGAAATAATTCAAGGTGAGTGTTACATCATATATACTATCAAATACATAAGGTATATATATTAAACTATGTCCAATTAATATTAATATATCTATCATTCTATTAAGATTATATATTAATAGAAGTTGTACATCTAAATGAGAGCCATCAAATTCAAATTAGTCACCTTGACTAGGGTAGGCAGCCATTGCTCAAAACAAATTGAACTCTTTCAAAATCATTTTATACTATAGCATGCTTTGGAATAGCCTTACAACATTAGCAAATCTCTTGCTTTTAAAGTACATTTGATTTTTTTATTGTTGCTGGGCTAATGATTTTGATCGACTTAAAAAAATCATCAGCATTAAAGAATTGTATTAGAGCTTGGAAATCATCTAATTAGTGATCAAGCCAGGGGATAACATTTTCTGTTCAGAATAAATAAAATATGACTAATTCTTTCAGTCGATTAATTTTAGACTATAACTTCTTTTAAGTAATGATCATCACCTGCTATGGGATGGGTCTAATCCTCCCAAGAAACCAGCAACATATTAGGCCCATTTTATTAATAATAATACTAAGATTCCGATACTGTATATGCTATAATAACTTTCTCAAGGCTAAACAGTCAGTAGAATATACCATTTAGACAAGTTTATCTTACTACCCCTCTGCCTGTATTGGTAGAGATCCTAAAAGCAAGTTTTCACAATGAGATGATCCCTCCTCAGCTGCAGTTCATTGGATCATGGAAGGGTGGAGGTAAGTTGCTTGATCACCAAGCTAATCAAGTCTTGTACCTAGGGAAATTGGAATTGGGGTTGAGAGAGTCATTGTTTCTTTCTCTGAATTGGCCATGTAAATGACCAAACTGTGGTGTGACCCTTTTTTCTTAATTCAAGAATCAGAGGTGGTTCACTCTTGAGGAGAGATATAGACTATTCTATCATCAGTTAAACTTGCTTTTCCACCCAGCAGAAGCGATGAGAAGGCTAAGTTGCAGAGAGAAGATAAAATACACTCACAGAGAGGAATGTAGATAAACCGCAGAGAGAGATTTTGAATGGCTTTCTGGGCCCTGGTTCTATTTCTTTCCTCATATCCACCTGCATTTCTGTACTTAATTGGAAAATAGCCCTAGTGGTGTTGTACTACATTCTTCTTTTTGATGAAGCCAAAAGTAGTTATCAGTGGGTTTTGTCTGGTCATTTCTCTCCTCACACTTCTGGAAATAGTATACCTCTTCCTTGGGTGTCCTTTTCCTCTTCACTTTATATATTGGTAATGATCTGTCCATTTTGATACCCAGCCTACAGAGGGAAGGCACATGATCGAGACCAAATTGGATACTGTAAATAGTTCTCTCCATGATTTGTTACAGATGACCACATGACTTAAGCCTGAATATTCAGATTACTTTCCTGTGATTTTTTTTTTATATGAGCAAATTTTCCCTCCAGATGAAACACATCTGGTGTGTTTTCAAGTTGGAATGGTATAAATCTGAAGTATGTATGTATGTATGTATGTATGTATTTATTTATATTATTTCAAGTGCGCTCTCTCTCTCTCTCTCTCTCTCAGGGATTTAACAATTAGAAAAACAGAATAACAACTTCCCTCCAATTTCTCTCACAAATGGTGAAGAGATTGAATGTATACATGCTAATAGCTTGGTATATTCTTACCTTAAATTATTTAATATTAAATTTAAATGAGATATATTAGTGGACACCTGGGTGGCCCAGTCGGTTAAGTATCCAACTTCAGCTCAAGTCATGATCTCACAGTTTGTGAGTTCAAGCCCTGCATTGGGCTCTGTGCTGACAGCTCAGAGCCTGGAACCTGATTTCAGATTCTGTGCCGCCCTCTTTGTCCGCTCCTCCCCTGCTCTCACTCTGTCTCTCTCTGTGTCTCAAAAATAAAAATAAAACGTTGAAAAAAAATTGTAGTGAGATATATTAGTTATATAAAAGGTTATGGAATAATATTCCAAGTCTATACTGTACATCTTACACTAAGGTATGCATACTGTGTTTCTGATTCTATAATGATTGGGATAATCCTGGGTCAGGATTCTAACATGGAAAGTGGAGCTGGGGGGGTGATATATAAGCCTTTTACACAAAGCTTTTGAGGTTGTACTGGACAGACTATAGGTAAACAAAAAGAGGGAAGGTTTCTTAGCATTTTATTTATGGGCCTGCATGATCCTTACCATATCCACTCAGATTCTGTTCACAAGAACTCAGTCATATGGTGACACCCAACTGTAAAGGAGGTTGGCATATATACTCTAGCTTTGGGTCCAGGAAGAAACCTATGTAAGTTTATAAGCAACTATGCAGCTCTTGCCATATACTCTTTTGGTGGTTCTAAAATAAAAAAAATTGTGACAGAATATGGAGAATTGTGTAGCCCAATCACTGCCAAATAATTGAAGTGATATTTAGGCTACATGACATGGTACAAAGAGCTCAGGATGAGAATTCAGAAGACTGTATTTTCAGTTTTGTTCTTACCACTGACTCACTCTGTACTGGGAAAGTCGCTTAATATTTCTAGACTTTATTTTCCCTATCACTAAAATTTGTATTAAAATATCTGTCCTACCAGGGTTCTTGGGTGGCTCAGTCAGTTAAGTGTCTGAGTTTGGCTCAGGTCATGATCTCACAGTTTGTGAGTTCGAGCCCCACGTCAGGTTCTGTGCTGACAGCTCAGAGCCTGGAGCCAGCTTCAGATTCTGTTTCTCCCTCTCTTGCTCTGCCCCTCCCCTGCTCATGCTCTTTCTCAAAAATAAACATTAAAGCAACTTTTAAAATATCTGTTCTACCTACACTACAAGTTTATTGTGGCTACCAAATTAAATATATTATAAATGTAGAGTGCTGTTCAAATGGAAGATCCTTCTTAGGACACATACACACACACACACACACACACACACACACACAACTATGCTATTTGCACACATAGAATTCCATGTGTATACTCTACTTCCCATGTTTTCCCATGCTGTTTGACTCTCTCCTCTATAATGTAATAACCTCTTTCAGGGATGCTATGAAACACCTTACATTGTCCTTCTCCCTAGGACCAAAGTATTCATTTGCACAGCTGGAGGAATGTAGGCTGTTCACAAATGAGTCCCTCAAGTATTTCCCTCTCTCTGCTGAAGGGAGATATCTTACTCAAGATTTTGTTCCCTCCCCAGA